TTTCAAAGGGTTGGCGGTCCCTGCTGATACAGACTAGTGAACTGGGAGAGGCTGGGCCATGCTCTCGCTCCACTCACCTCCGACAGCTGCTGGAATTTCCTTCCCTTCCCCGGCAGATCGGGACGATCGCTGCTTTGGCCGAGATCGGGATCGCTTCCGGGACTCGGAGAGGTTCGAGAGCGACTGGAGGGCCCGTCCCGCCGCCACCGATAGCTTTGATGATTACCCACCCCGCAGGGGTGACGACAGCTTCGGAGACAGTGAGTTGTCAGAAAATAACGTGTTGCTTCCGTTGCTGTCCTGGAAGGAAGGGTGGCTGAGGGGATCCGAACAAGAACGAGGGAGTCAGGCTGCAGCTTCCCTCCGCTCCTCCCCTGGCACGCAGGTTTCCTGCGGGACTTGGTGGTTGTTTCCCCTGCATCTCTAGCCCAGAGCCAAACCTTCTGTGTCTTTCCATGTGGATAGTTCTTCCTCCTTTCCATTGTTTCCCCTGAAAATCTGCATTATCTCGACATCCAGGTGTGCTTGATTCTGCTCTGTCTGTGATGGGACACTGACGTGAGCGGCCACCCGGAGCTCATTCCCTGCCTTGATTATTGCCAGGGCGAGCGGGTCAGCGCCGTCTCCTGCCTGGAGAACAGCAGCAGGATTTTCCTGCTTCGTTAAGGGATTTGTGATCCTCTTAGCATAACGAGCGCAGGAGAACCCTGGTGTCTGTCACCTGAGGGTAGAACAGTCTGCCGGGTTCATCCGAGCCGCCTCGCTCACACTCGCCTGCTTGCCCTGCCTCCAGGGTACCGGGATCGCTACGACGATCGGTATCGTGATGGGCCGCGGAGGGATATGGACCGTGGCTTCGGTGGCAGGGATCGCTACGATGACCGCAGCAGAGACTATGACCGAGGTAGGATGTTCCCGAAGGATTGCCGGGCGGAAGGGGTGAGGGTGAGACTCTGCCACAGCAGACGAGCTGCCCAGTGTGGCCCAGTTCCTGTCCAGGCAGCTTTAATCCTTGGCCTTGCTCTGGTCCTTAGCAGAGCCCAGGTCTGCCCCAGGTTTTAAGGCCGTTGTGTTGAGACGACGCCGGCCTGCAGGAAGGGCTCCTGCCCTGCACCCCGCTGGCTTCGGAGGGATCGGGACCCACCGGCAGGGATTCCCTTCCTCCCACAGGCTACGATTCCAGGATAGGCAGTGGCAGGAGGGCCTTTGGCAGTGGGTATCGCCGGGATGATGACTACCGAGGGTGTGGTGACCGCTACGAGGACCGCTACGACCGGCGGGATGACCGAATGGATAGGTGGAACTCTCGGGATGATTACGGCCGGGATGATTTCCGCCGTGACGACAGAGGTAGCGGCTTTGGGGATATCTGACCTCCTCAGCTCTGCTGGGAGCGGCTCGGGGGGGATTTGTGCTCACTCGGGGTGTCTTTGCTCCTTCCCAGGTCCCACTCAGAGGCCGAAGCTGAACCTGAAGCCCCGGAGCGCGCCCAAGGAGGAGGAGACCTCCGTGGCCCCTGCGCCCCAATCCAGCCGGGCTGCCTCCATCTTC